TTTAATGCAAACATGAGATTATTTTTCATGAATTTTTTGTATTTTGCCGAAAATGTTCATTTGTTCAACTCAAACATCGGAGATGTTTCGTTTGCTTTTCGTAAGCTCCTAATTGATGAAAATTCGAATAAAAATGTCGCTTGATGCCGAATTGGCAACGTGGATTGTTCCTTTAAACGCTTCCGATCATTGTGTATCTGTCGATATATTCGAATATGTTGAACCGAATGCGGAGTATGTAATGAATGTGTCGTAGTTGACAGTGTCAACTCGGTGTATGCGTTGGGAATTTATGTTGGCATACTTTTCGATTTTCGTTCCTCTCTCTCTTACTCTCTCTCTCTCTCTCTCTCTCTCTCTCTCTCTCTCTACACCGCCCCCTTCTCTCTCTGTTTTGTCTCTCATTGTGCGTACGACCAAACATTTTTGGTCCATGCCCCAACGTGTTCATCGTTTCCAATTCGAAAATCGAACGCTTCATGCTTCGCATACAACGCAACTAAATCGAAATCCAATATACAATTTTGAAATTTTCAACCACGATCAATTGACAAACGCCGGTCGGGCCAGACAAGCAATTGCTCTCGTAAGTTATAACTTTAAATGGTTTCTATTCAACTAAAGTTCTTAAGCATTCCGAACTGATTCAATTTTCAAAGTTTTCAAAACTTGCTGAAATGTTCTATTCCAGCCCATTCTTCCGTTCAATTGCCATTTTTTTTTTGAGTGAGATGGGGTGGGTTGATGGAGAGTGGAAATTACAAAATGTTGGCAAAGTTTTTATTGTTTTCGATATTGTGGAGATTTTATTGAGCTTTTGTAGCCATTTTTCTTAGAAATTACGACCAATTATTATGAATAATATATGTACGTAACGAAATTCGTTTACACACACACATACACCCAATCCGGTACTGAAGGGTGTGGTGACAATCCGTTGTGACCTAACTTGTGAAATCAACTGAATAGATGGGCTTTTCAACATTCAATTCCGGGTAAATATTGAATAAAAAAGACTGAAAGCGTTAAATCACGCGGATGATGAAGTATAATCACTTTGATCAAGGGTCATTTTCAGTGATTTTCAGTGCCTTTGAGTCTTTTTCAGTGTTTTTAGTCTTTTCAGTCTTCAGTCATTTTCCATATATATTTGCCGCTAAAACGTCACCCCAAGTGTCATATTGAAGTGAAGATTAGTGAGAGTTCTTTGTTGACATTTGCTAGTTTTCCAGACAATAAACAAGCAATTATAATTGGAATTTTATTCATAATTATGAATATAGCAATTGTGAAGTTCATGATCATATCGATTTTCACGCACCATATTTGTTCAAAAAATACTGTCCTTGTGATGAATATCCATATTGCTCATAAAGTCACATACAAATAAATTATGTTTCTCATTTTGTGCGTTTATTGCAAAGTATTCCATTGGTGCTTAATATCGCAAACCATCGTTGGACTTTGCACCAACAATTTTTTTCTTCTACATGTTCGACTACTCCAATATTGGAATACAATCACTAGAAATCTGAACGAATTTGAATCAGGCGCATAAACATTACCAATGTAATTGTTATCAATTATTGGATGATTTATGCCGGTCATTTTTTATCTAGATAAAATAGTTAATGCATCGGTGCGAATTAAATTTTTGCTTTGATTAACGACCGAGCTATCTAAATTTTCAAACGTGATATGGCTTCTCGAATATTTCACAATGCACATGCTAGAAGAATAAATAAATATTTTTGCTATGACTATTGTCACATCACTCGCTATTTGCTTCCAAAAATATTCGTTTGGTTCTTTTTTGCTTGTGAAAACACAACCAAATAGCATGTTTTTAGATCATTTTTTGAAATTTCAGCCATTTTTATAATTTTCAATCTTTTTCAGTCATTTTAAGTCTCGTTCCGTCATTTTCGGTCTTTTCAGTGTTTCAGTGGTAATTCACCCCTTGACTTTGATCGTTTGAATTATGGTGATTCGGGCCGCGTTTTTTTTATTTGATTTTTTTATATCGCTATTTGTAGTAGAAAAACCATTGGGATGGGTCGAATATGAGTAGTTTGGAGCGAAAATGTAATACAGAAAAATTGCGTGGAAAAATGTCAAATGAAAAAAGATAGGTATATAGTTCCAAGTTCACTATAGTTTACTATACAGTTTACTATACAGCTTTCCCTTTTCCGCTCATTCATCATCGACATTTTTCCGCGCAACTTTTCTGTATTACGTTTTCGCTCCAAACTACTCATATCATGTATAGCAATTAGATAGACAGTGCAGCGCTGGTTACTCTTTAAATAAAAACCGAATTATAATTATAATTATATAATTATACGAATAGGTATTTCAATTGTTGTAAAGTATTTCCATAGAGTATGCGGCAGCGATGCACTTTTACCACTCATGCACTGATTGTTTCCGAACAAAATTTCCAACATATATCCGTTTCAAATACACCCAAGCGTACAAAGTTTTCCATTCATTCAATTTCTTGCAAACCATTTTAAAATTTCAAGACACAATACTATTCTCTATGAGATAACTAAAGGAAGGCAAAAGAAAATTGTGGACAAAACTCACCATCTCGCCCTGTTTTTTTTATGTTTAGTTTGCATTTATATGTGTTAGTGTCACGCCAAAAGTGTTTGTTTGTTTTGAATATGGAGAATAGAAGAAGAAAGAGAAGAAAAACAGAGTATTAATTTTTATTTCTTGTAAAAAAAATTTCAATTGTTAGTGCAAAATTAGTTAGCATTCGGGTTCATTGGTAATTGGCGGTAAATTCGTGTGAATTTTTCGAATTTGGTGGGGAAAAGGTTCAAGATTAGTTGAAAACCACGCCTGACTTGCGATTTGAATTTGACAACTGATATTGAACGCAAACATCATCTAGATGATCTAAGGCTAATGACAATACAATCAAGTAATCTCTCCGTTATTTCATACGTAAGTGTCACATACGCACATAGCAAAATTCTATTCAATTATGCAGGAAGCGCCACCGTCACTCGATTTCAGAACAAAAACATAGAGTAATATAGATCGCAAGTCGGACTTGGTTATGACAGAAACAAACAAAAAATGGTGTCTTAATTTGAGATTCTGAAAGCATAAGCGTTATCTGTGATTTTTACACATTTTGAATTTGCATGCTGCGTGTCATTTGTGAGGGATACACCTCAAAGGGATTCTCAGTGAAGTTTTAGCTTTTGACAACAACACCAGCTTTATCGCGGTACTATAGCAAGCTATCTCTCTCACCATGCAAAGTCAAAACGAGTAAAATTCGCGACCGCGATTCCACAACAATTTCGTCAATTTGGCAATGCTATTGGGATTTAAAACATTTTTACTCTGAACCTTTCGAATAAGTCTACGCCGTAAGCACGACGGCGTATGGTATTGTACTGACAATAGTTGGAATGGCAGATTTGTATTTATTTAGCTTTCGCTCTTATTTAAAAATGACGGCTAGAATGGCTTCAGCCATATCAGTTAACAGGTCGGGGCATAACTAGAGATGAAATTTACGGTTTTGATCTAGCTATGTTATCTGTGGATCACATTTCACGTAAAATTGAATGTAAATTTCATGTTCGCGTTGGAAAATCGGCAATTTGTTGATCATTAAAAAATCGGTTGAAAATCGTCAAATCTGGGGTTGAACTCGTGTTCGCCATTTACCACTTTCCGATGATGGCAAGATGAAAAATGAGATTTTATTGGGGTTTCTATATGAATCCAATTTGAATGTAGTCAACCCAAATCGCCAGAGAGTGATGGGTGGTCAAGTCGAGATCAAACCGCGATTTTCAAAGGTAAAGGAACAAAACGATTGACGATTTACGATCATGTTGTTGTCAATTTTGGATTTTCAGTGTTAGTTACTGAACAATTGGACATCAGCGCGTTCACATGTCATATAATATGACTCATATTTGTGTCAGATCAAAACTGAAAATTAGGAATCATTCATTACTAGTAATGCCCCTAAAAAACCAATTTGAACCCGTACTAGCCCATTTTCATACCAATACACTATTGTGAGTACAAAATTGTACAGAGTAAATCTCTACACGGTACGTAGAGAAAAAAAATGGTCCATAGAAAATGAATAAATAAATAAAATACTGTGAAAACATGGGAAATTCATTTAAATAGTTTAACGGGCTTCGAAAAAAAAACAATACCACCACCACCAGAATGAAATAAAGAATGCATGGAATTGCGGAACAAAAGCAGAAAAATGGACGTAGTGAGAGATGAAAAAAATTGAAGCAGAAAGTGGAATGCGGAGCAGATGACACACAAAGAATATAATATGTGTCACTTGAAATCGTGTCAATACATAAATATGTATGTGTGCAAATCAAAGTGAAAAAAATATCCGAAAATAATTGATGAACAGGAAAAAAAAGCAGTTATACAATGGGAAATAGCACCAATTTTAAATCATATTTACGAAAAAAAAAACAAAAAAATGGAAACACACTCGCATCGGTTGAAAATAAAAACGCAAACGAAATGACAAATCGGATAGCACACTCACACACACACACACACACACACAGGTACGAAAGCACGTGCAATAAATTGGGTCTGATATGAAAAATAAATAATGACCGTTGTGATGCGTTGATAAATGGAAAACAACGCCGGATAGCGAGAGAGAAATAAAAGCAGGTAATGAAAAACGGTGCTTGAAACGACCAAATTAAACGAAAATAAACACGCAGCATGAAGCCACACCGAACAGGAAATGAAATTTTTTTTAGCGTAGCCAAATAAAAACGAACAGAAAAGGTGAATCGGCGCCTGAAAATGAATGATCTGTCATTTGAGACGCGACTATATCATGGTGTTGAAAAGGAATTTAAAGCGAAGAAGAGAATGCTGATGTTTTCTTTTGTTTTTGCTTTTCATTAGATGCGGGAATGTGAGGTGTTTACGTGTTTGTTATGCAGTTTAGAGCGAAAATGTCCACTTACCATGAGCACGAGCAGCAGCAACACCAACATAGACAGCACGGTTTATGTGATTGTGGCCGATTTAATGGGCCGCCCATATTATTTGTGGTGCCGTGCGTTACACCACCGACCGTTGCACTGACAGCACCTCCGCTACCTTGTGATGATCCACGAAGTCGACAACTTGCACTTGTTCGGAGCTGCAACTCCGATACGCTACACGACATTCTGTCGAAATCACAACACAACAAGCAACAATTCATTGTAAAAACATTATTTTTTCTTTGTTGTTTGTTTGTTTTTTTTTTGTTTGGTTTGGTTTTGTTTTGTGTGTTTTTCGATTTTCTTCTTATCAAACGGCGCTTTTCGCTTGACAATCGCACACCCCTCTCCCGCTCACGCTTCCCACAACACAAAAGACAAACAAACCAAATTGGATTTTGGAGCCGGATTGGTTTTTTTTTCGAATACGCACCTACGTTGCTATCTCCACAGAAATTGTATCGTCAACACGACTTAATATACGATTGCCCATTAAACAAATCAAATGCATCGCATTCGTAATTCGATTCGAGAGCAAGTAATCATTTAACGGAGAAAAATAAACCCAAAAATAAAACTGAAACACCGATAGAAACGAAACGAATATTATACTAACTCCGCTTTCTCTTGTTCGATGGGGGGAAAAACACACTAAAACACTAAAAACTTCTTTTTTTCTCGATATTATTCAACAATAAATGCAATTCGTATCAACACCTTTTTTTTATTCGATTCGGAGATTTTGTTTTAATTACTATTTTTTTTATTCAACTTTTTCTTCTTCTGTAATTTTAATTCAACAATTTGCTGTTTTTCTTTCGCTCTTCCCCTTTTTCCGCTTCACTCGAAATTCGTGCTCTGCTTTTTTTTATTGAAAATATGAGCCACACTCGGTTGCACCGATTTCCATGTTCTGCCGAATTTCTATTGAAAAAACACGCACTATTGGTCGACGCAACGCTTTTTTTACCATATTACACTATTGTTTTACACACTTTTGTCAGAACACAACAACATTCTGTTGCATGCGCGCTGTTTCACAGGAACTATACCGTTGTTACTGTTGTTGTTGTTGTTGTTGTTGTTGTTGCTGGTGCTGCTGTCGGAACATCGGACTGCACCATCCACGCAAACAACTTCTTCGTTTCCAATTTCTGAAATGAACACAAGAAAATGATCACATTTTAGTCGAACAATTCATCACTGTTTTTTTTCTCTTTCAAATTTTCTTTGTTAGAATTTCTGATTAATTTCTCAGGCCACAGCTTTTAGATTAATTTTGGATTCTGTTTACTCTTTTCTCTCAGGAACGAAGCTCAATTTTTCTACATCATGTATACGTGAACAAAAAACGATAGACACGCTTTCGTTCCTCCCCCTTGATGTGTAATACACATTGTGTATTCACAATTAAATCCAACATTTTTTTTTATTTCAGTCGTTCAACCTTGTTCATTCGTGTTTTTCTTTGTTTTGGACAGTTTTACCAAAAAAATAATACGTTTCACATACAGCGAAATCATGAGAAATTCTCACTTTTTTTTATAAGGCATTTCATATGGTAGCTGGCAAATAAAAATGAAAATTTCTTTTATTCTTATTCTTATTTTATTTTCTCAAAATTTTTATTGTAATTGAGGGGCTTGTTTGTCGTCGCGAGTCAGAAAAGATTTGCATATTTTCTATGTAGACATAGAGATCTGAACACGAGTCACTGCGAATCGTAGAACAGAAATCTTCTTGGAAATCTATGGCTTCAGATGAGTCAGCTGCGAACAATTGACATATAATTTTGTGAAAAACTTCGAATTGGTTCAGTGATTCGCAAATCCATGTGAAAGACTCGCGTGTCTTCACACAGAATCACAAGATTCGTGCGGTCGAAATTTTTTTTCCAGTAACTTGTGAGATTTGCACTGACTCGTGTGACACATAGGCTCCTAGATTATAATGTGTAGATTGTTTTGCTAGGGGAATTTATATATTCGCAAAATGACAGGAATTCACACAATTCGCACGCGCTTTGACTTCAAATTCATCCAAATATTTCACGAATTTTGCGAATTGGTCAAATCCAAAACGTTGAAAGCTGGCGCTATCTTAGTTGTCATTCGCAGTGATAAAGCAGAGAATGTGAACCACGATCCGACAGTAAAAACCAAAAATACATTGATTCATAAGGACACTGAATGTACAGAATGTGACAAGAGCGAAACTAGTGAAAATATTCATGAACTTACATGTAATCACAAAGTTTCTATCTTAATTGCATTGAAGAACACAACAACAACGCCTGAAAGTAGTCAAAATTGCAAGTTTCAATCATTATACTGTGCGTATAAAAACTCATTTTCGTGAGTCGAGCAGCGCACACGGATTTATCATCTTTCATTCAAGTGAGTGTGTGCGCTACTCGCAGCGTCCACTCAGTGCGATTCTTAAGCTCTGGCTTTGACTGTAATCGCAAAATGTTGTTCGATTTGTTTAATTAATTTGCTTATATTGCTCTTTTTTTTCGAAAATAATTGTGTAGTCCAAAAATTGGGTGTGTGTATGCTATACTATCAACATCATATTTATATGATGAATGAATTCTTATTAAAGGATTTTTGGTCATCGTATGACGTTTAAGTGTAGTTTTGGTTGTTTTTTTTCCAAAAATGTTCACATTTTCTCTGTTGCTCATTCCGCGCCTATGAAACATTTGAAAACTAGCATATGACTCATATGCATTAAAAATGATGTGAGAATGCTTTTCCACATAACTTTTTTGTGATTATAACGATCCCGTGATGTAATTTCATCTGATAATACATTGCTCGGTGTGTTGTATGACTGGAAAAAATGTTATCTCTTTTCATCCTTTTTTTCGATGGAAAAATGAAATCGATTTATGTATTTCATATCATAGCATCAAATGGAGATTAAGGAAATTGAACCATTGCGCTGGCATTCTCACTTTCGAATGTATGTGCGTGTCCATATATGATATAATTATGTTGGAGGTGTGAACCAAAAACCACTAAAAACATACAAACAAAAAAACGGTAAATGTGCACTTGACGATTTGTCGAAATGCAGAAAACAAAAACAATTGTCTGTGTACAACAAGTGCTTCAAAATTGGAGCTGAATTGATGCGTTGTCAAATTTCAAGCATCGATTCGGGTGGGTCTGGAGAACAAAACCATTTTTCACCGAAATTCCCATCATTTTTTTTCTCTCACGTTCGATTTGACATTTTTGAAATTGGGTCTTCTGAAATTCAGGTACATGGTGGATTTAGCAAAAGCACCTTTTTTTGTGTTCGAAAGGAAAACAAAAACACTCTTTTTTCTGCCTGTTTTTTTATTCATTTTATCTACGGAAGATAAAGCGATGCCTCCTTTGAAAAAGACCAAAAACAAAACTTGTTCGTTTTCCCTCTGCAGCAGAAGAAGAGGCAATGGGTTTTCCGTTGAATGGAATGTGCTAGCGTGTAAAAGCTGGGCCATGTTTGTTGTTAGTGCGGTTGCAATGCGTCAATGATTCGAAACCGGATGAAAATTGAAAACGAAACAAATCGGAAAGGAATCGAATGAAAGGAATTTGACGGTATCGTACGTATACCACGTTTTCAGCATGAATTTTCGAATGAGACCTCGTCGCATTTAGATTTATATCGATTTTAATGTGATAGTTTCCCGCAAAAAGCATTTTTTGCACAACGAAAGAGAGACAACAACAACAAAACTTATGTTTATTCGACGAAAGAAGAGCGAAGTAACTGCACTGAAAGCCACTTGAACGCACCAAGTGATAGCATATGTGTGTGTGTGTGTGTGTGTGTCTGTTAGACAAGCATGTCGCAATGGAATTACAATAAAATCCATGTAGTCGCAGCTTTTGTACGAAACGGAATGATTGTGTGGAAGTAATTTGCAGTTGAAATGATGAACGAGTATTAAATCCCGTGGAGCATTTCGTTTTGCATGGTATCATCGTCATCGTCGTTGACGGTGAGCTCATTTGGTCAGGGGATCGTGGCAAAGTGCCACTAAATTACATGTAGTTACAATTTTGCCTGTGAGCACTAAAAATAGTACATGGTGTGCATTGTTTTGTGTGTCTTGAGCTTTTCATGCCACTTGGTGTGGCCGCCATAAGTGATATGTGTACAATGTTTGACAGTCAAACATACACACACATACACAATAAGTATATAAAGTATGTGTTGAAATGATCAAAGAAAAAAGAAAGAACGAGCGAACGAGCGAACGGATGAAGAAAAATAAAAGTGAAGCGCATCATTCGACACATAAGATAACACGACACAAAAGCAAACAGAACAGATGGAAGAGGAAGAGAAAACGAAGAGAGGACCAAGACTGAGAAAGAGAAAGAAAGAAGCGCTCTCTCTCTCACACACACACAAGAGTGAGACCGGAGAGTTAGAGAAAACAAGAACGACCGAACTACCAGAAAATAAAAGGAGAGAGTGTAGCGGAAAAAGGAATATGAAAGGAAAACCACCGTGCAATTCGCAAGAAATATGTTACTTTGATCGCTACCTGTGCATCGCTTACTTATTGGCATGTTTCACGGTTTTTTTTAAGCCATTCCAAGTTGTCAGTGCGTGCTTTGCAAGAGAGCACACAACAATGAGTTGAAATGGAAGAGAAAGCGAGAGCAAGAGAGATCGAGCGAACGAATAAGAACAAAAAAGGAAGAAATGATTACAAGAAGCGAACAAAAAGATTTTCGAACAAGTTGAATCCCAAGCAAGCTTCAGACCGAGTTATATTATGCTCGGGTTGGAACTGTTGCTGCTGCTGCTGCTGTTGCTTGCACGACGTTATTTATATGTGTATCTCATCTCTATCTTGTACTGTCATGCACAACAATTTAACGATGCTCCCATTACATTTCTAAATCGAAAAACTACAATGAACTACAATGACGATGGCAAAAATGAACACGGAATACGGTGTGGTTGTTGTTGGCATATGTTTCTCTGCATCGCAATGCAAATAATTTTCATTTCCTCGCTTTCTCTCTCTCTCTCTCTCTCTCTCTCTCTCTCTCTCTCTCTGCCTCTGCCTTTCGCATTTCCTCATTTTTTGTGTTCACGATGTGTGTGTGTGTTCCAAATCGCGAGTTTGTTTCTCTGGTTCAATTTTCATTTGAGCCGTGTGTGTATGCGTTCTTAGTAGCTAGAAAAAAGCTCATCGCTTGCAATACGTTGAATATGTTTCAATTAAATTTGCCTATACACATTTGTTTTTGCTTCGCCTCTTTTTCAATCTCCACCAACTTTTTTCTCGCTTTGGCTTGCGCGCCGCACATAATTTTCTGGCAAACATTTTTTGTACATGCATTTTGCTGATAGCATAAGTGATTGCGTCGTTATTTCTATTGCTGCTGCTGCTGCCTACCGAGTTCGGTTTCCCGTTTCGTCTTTTGTTTTATCGCATCCAAAATGAAACGAGAGAAGAAAAAAAAGACACACACGATGATTCGTCGACTGACTTTCACTTTAATGATCAGCCTTCGTGCACTATTTTTCCGGTTTACGTATGTTCATTTTCTTATTTTGTTCATCGCAAGAGTGAGCGAGCACTATGGCACGTGCGCGCGCGCGCTTCTTGCGAATCGGTATAGAATTGTGTTCTCGTTATACTTCATTTTCTTGCCTCCGTGTTTTTTTCTCGGTTCTTGTTGTTCCATGCTTGGTTTTTTCGTTGCTTGGCTCGGCTTGTTGTTTTTGTTGCTGCTGTTGGTATTTTCTTGTCGTTGTACCTTAGCTTTTATTATTTAATGATTACTTTCTTCTGGCATTCGAAGTGGAGAATGAGAGTGAAGGGAAGAGAGAAAGAGGTAAGGTTAGGGGAGGTGGGGTTGTTTGGAAGGGTTTCACTACTTAGCTGCGGTCTTTTGTTGTGTATTGAAAAAGAAAATAAAATGAAAAATGAGAGAACGATGTTGGTAATTTTCAGGGCTTTCGTCGCGTTTCTCGCACTCTACTTCATTTTTTCGAATTGTTTTGGAGCTTTTTCTTTCTCGCTTTCTACCTATCTTGCCCACTCTGTCTCTCTTTCTATTTCTCTTCCTCTTTCCCACTCTACCTCTATACCTCTATTTCTCTTTCTCTATGCATGTGATTTTTCCCCTTTCTT